ATCGTTAAAAATTATTTTTTTATTTTGTACGAACAAAATAAATATATTGAAAAATATAAAAACAATAAAAAATTATACTTCAGAAGTTAATTTAGTATCAAAAACGTAAAATATTTGAGTAGCCCAAGACATAACCAAAGATTGAAGCGTCACAGCACTAGCGAAAATTTAAATTTGCCGACTGGAATTCTTTCGGATTGACTTTCGGATAATCAATGCTCTACTGTATTTTTAATAGATTATCTGATGTACTTAATAAATAAACAAGTTCAATATAATTACCTCTGTTATTAGACTCAATAGATTCCCTAAGCCCTCTATATGCCAATTCTTCCTTTGAGAAAAAACATATAACAACTATTAATTTAGATATAATATATCTATTAGCTGTAATTATCTTGTTATAATTTTCAATATTTATTTTATATTGTTTACTAATGTTAAGTTCTATTCTGCTTTGATTTCCAAATTGCTTCAATTTTACGAAAGAATCAATCTGACATTTACAATTTTCATGTCTTTTGCCAGCTTTACTCAAATTATTTAAATCATCAAAGCCATACTTATTCCACACACTAATTTTATTTGAAAATAATAGGCAAAGCCAACAAAACAATTTTTGCATTTCTATGCATCTACAAAGCCATTTATGTTTTATCGTGAAAATGTCAAATTTTTTGTTGATGTATTTACATTTAATTAAGGCATTGGTCTTTCTCTTTTTAATGATGATTTCTTTTTCATTATATGGTCTTGAGCCAAAACTTTTTTAAAATAAATTTTCAATATCGCAATTACATTCTAAATCACTAGCCATAATATAAGGGCTAAAATTAAAAATAAAATTATTAAAACTTACTTGGTGAAATAAAATGTCTGATGGATATACAATTATATATACCTAGTATAAAATATTCAATTGTACTATGATGTACAATGAATATACTTTTAAAGAAAATTATAATTAAATATAGTTTTGTGAAGAAATGTAAATAAATATAACATAAAATGTTGTTTACTTTTTAAATATTAAAACAATTCACTTAGTTAAAATTCTCCCTACGAGTGGCATGGACGGAATCAGAGATGATCTTGGTAGGTGTGCAGTTCGTGCATGCACACCAGATCCCAAGGGTGCTGATACCGGTTAATGTCAAATGCCTCTTTTGCCACATCACTAGCATATCTCAAAAGATGCAACAGGGTTGTTGTAAATTTTAAATGTTTCTCACCATAGCTGTAAAAATCTAAATATGTTAAATTTAAAAGTAATTTGTTTACTAACTAATTTGTTTTAGGACCAGATGTCCACAAAAATTTCCAAAATTTACAAGTTTTTGGTCACACTCATTGAAATGGATAAACTTTTCTCTCTTTATTACATCTAATATTATGAAGAAATCAGTCCCCACTGTACTCTGCTAGAGATTGGTTCAGTTAAGCTTTTGTTTAAGTAAAATTCCAGCCCTTTCATCAGGGTTTTATTTAGGTCTCTAATTCTGTAATCTCTTAATTATTTAACTACTTCTTAAGAAGAATTAAGTTGAAACCGGTTACTTTGTACTTGAATATATTTATGACAACTCATTCATTTTCATTTCATTTTGTTTTTATTGGTACAAAAAATAATTGTACATTCCCTGGTCCCACTACACACATTACCAGGGATAGAGTATATATACAGTATTAAATGAATATTAAGAAGTAATACAGAAATAAATGCAGATGATGATAATAAGTAAGATAAAATAAATTAACAAATAAACAATAATAAATAAAATAAGATAAATAAACAAATAACTATAACTAACAAAAGTTTACGTAATAAAAGCTTGCAACAAAAGCGAACACGTGCTATCAAACAATCACATTAAAAATCACACAAAGTGACAAAAACCGAAACAATTACACATAGAATAAAAATACATGTAATAAAAACAAAATTAAAATTACATTAAATCAAATACAAAGCAACTGGCACGTAAACACATTACATGTAAGGATGCAACAATAACCAATCTGCATAATATTAGAACTGGATGAGAAGAAAAATATATACAGTGGAACCTCTGTATACGTCTGCTTTAGAATACATTCAATTTGGAATACGTCCTGTTTGGACGAAACAAATTTTGCTCGGTATACGACTTAATTCAATTATAGTAGAGCGTCGATTTTCCGAATCAATTGGGGACTGGGGTTGTTCGTATAACTGATATTTCGGATAATAGATTTATATACGAAAAAATAGTTTAACGTATCCGATGTTAAAATTTTTTTCCGTTGCGTGTCGCTTCGCGTTGAATTTTCGTCGATGTCAAGCCTAACGAAGACTATTGTATCGTTAAAAATTACTTTTTTTTTAACTAATTAAAATGAACTTTATGATTACCCAAAATCACCACCAGGAGGCCTGAACCAGTTATATATTGTGCTAAAGAACATGGTAGTTATGGTCAGAAATGGTAACCATTGTTTTAATGTTAAAAAACGCCGAATCCTCAAATAAAAGGTCGGCGTTTCNGTTGTGACCATGTCACAATAAATAATTGCTCGTTAATTTTTTAATTGCAACTTTAAGAATTTCGAAAATAAATTGCTTATAAATAAATAATATCGTTTTTCTTTTCTGTGCGGGTGATTTAAATATTTCGTCCACAAGAACTTACGATATTTCACACGAACAAAACTTACAGGTCTTTGGTGTTTTTGCTTAACACGACAAACATGCAAACTTTAATTAATTAAAATCATGAAACATCATCAGTGTGAGAATGGAGGGGTTAATTAATTAAAGTATCAGAATGATTACATATAAACATGAAAACAATGACGACAGTTTAATATCAGTTAAAATTGTTATTAATTTATATATAAGTAGCAGATCGAACAAAAAATAAAAACAGCTAAAATTAAGATTATGAGATTATTTCATACTTTTAACACTTCTTTTATATTATAGTATTTGATTTATATTTACAAGGGTTATATTCCGTAAGAGTTTATCACACCAAATGCCCAATGTAACACATTTTTAAAACTTTTAAAATTGTGTATAGAAGAATAACGAATTTTTAAAATGTGTTAGATTGGCCACTCGGTGTAATAAATCCTCACGTAAGATAACCTTTGTTGTTATATAAATCAAATACTATAATATAAGGAGTATTAAAACGAAAACGATATAAAGAGTTTGGTTATTTCAGTCTATCGCTATTACGTTTATCGCGATACTCGGATGTTACGAAATGGAAAAAATTCAATGGCCAAGTAAACAGGAATTAAAAACATATCTTAAATTTTTCACATATTATAATATTATCTAATGTTAACTCTAAGAAACTGTACCATTCACAGCTAAATATCTAACGGTAATTGGTGTTGGCAACGGTGTCTATCGAAAATCATGGATTGGATTGGTATAATAGAATTAGGCAACGAAACTCATAGATGATCTGCCAAGGAGAAGGTAGTCGCTCAAAAGTAAAACATTTAAATGAACAGAAATAACGTAATAAAAGTAAAATGAGTTTGAGGTTTATTCTCACATCTGTAGAACAATCTCTAGAACAACTGCATCCGTCAGTTGCAATATCATAACAAAAGCCATCAATTTTTCCAATTGCACAATTATTATCATCTTTTTATTTGACCGAAATAGTCTGAATGGCAAAATGTTAAAAATAAAGTATGGAATAATTGTGACAAAACATCTGACTTTTAGATTGAAGTTTTTGAGAACACCGATTCAACCGGAACCAAAGATTTAGAAATATTGTTCACTTAGCATTGAATTGTTTGTGCTTTCCAACTTCTAATGGAACTATTGAGAGGGCTTTTTCAATACATTCGATTATAAAATCAAAATTAAGAAGCAGATTATGTTTAAATATGGCATAGGCTATTATAGCAACCAGGTATTACTTTTTAAGAAATGAAATAACTTGTGGCCCACCAGTGGCCGAGCGGTCTTCGTACCCCAAACTGGGAGTTCGGTCGGATGGGCTAAACACGTGAAGTTTTCCGGGTTTTCTCCACGTCTATAACGCCTAAATAGGGACCAGTTTCTTTTAGAAAGACCTCCCGGAAGGCATCCCTCAGGCAGATCGCCCAAGTGTTGCGTTTTGCGTTGACATAACTTAATTAACAAACAAATAACTTGTGCAAATTTTCAACCATTAACAATAATGATAGAAAAGTGTAATAAAAAAATGCATGACTACATTAATTCTCAATTTACAAACGCATCAGAAAAATTAAATGATGTCATTAATGTTTTTCAAAATATTTAATTTTCATAATGAATGTTTTTTTAAATACTTTAAAATTTTTGTAATTCATAAAAGAATAATAAAACATTTTTTAAATTATAATTTCACAAAAATTAGGGTTCTTTTTTAAGGGTGAAGAAATGTTTTTAAGGGTTAATTTTTGGCGAGTTTTTCCTCTAGGAGGCGTAAGCACCTGGGAGTTGGCAACACTGTGTAAACCCGAATCAGAAAGAAAGGAGGCTTCGTCTTTACTTTGTTTCTATTTTCAATGTCAATTTTTCTCGTGCTATGAAGAATTAAAGTAATTAAGTCTACGACCTATCGTTAGCCGGAGGCCTTTTGTTTGAGTCTACGTTTTCTGTAAGTATTACGCTCTTTCTAAATGAATACTTTTGTAATCGTTTGAAGTTTACTATCTGGGACCATCATTGTCGCCCTTTCGGTTGAGTGTATTCTCGCTCCCAACGATATCCGTCGGAAGCGATACGCGATCACGTGATAAACTAACCTAACTTATTCTAATACTGTATACTATCAAGTGCAACTACAGATTTAAGATTATAAATAACAAGTAAAAGGCAAAACCGTATTTGGGCCAAGACTATGTCTTGGAGACTCGCTACTAAGTGGAATCACTTTGACACTCAAGGCGGGTCTCGTTCTCATTCTCCAATCATCTTTGTTATCGCTGCTTTTAGGCGCCATCGTTCAAACTTCGCCGACCACGATGCATTTTCGATGAAATTAACCTATCCAATTTCGAAATTTCTCTCCGTTGCGTGTCGGCCCGGGTTGAATTTTTGTTGATGCGTAACGAAAATTTCCCGTTGGTATTAGTATCCCGTTTTTAATTAAGAGGAAAAACGGGCACTTGTGCTGATTAGGCGGTATGGCTATTTGAGAGGTTTTCTTCCATAAAGTTAATCAAATCTAGACTAATTTCACTCGAATATTTCCAAAATACATATAATTTGTTGGAAATGATAGATATAAAATATGCTATGAACAAAAAATTGTCGGAATACTTATCGAGTGTACCCGTTCGAAGACGCCATTGCTTAAGCTTGTTTTCGTCGCGGAGCGTCATATCGGATGCGTACGAAGCGTGTCGCGTGACATTTGTCGGTGCTATTTGTTCATGTGACTACTCATCTCCGACGTGTTCCCGATAACTTATTTTTGCGAAGAATTCGCTGAACTTTAGAGACATCACGTGATAGATCATAATATACTATAGATTTTTATTGTAATTAGAAACGACTTATTATTATATTTGACTATATGAAGCAACAAAGGAAAAACCACTCGCTAACGACATAATTCTATCATGATATATATTATGATGATGATAAATATTAATCAGATGCAACATAAGATGTCTAATGTCTTGATGTAAATAAATATTATACAATTTTGTTTACGACATTAGGCCATTTAAAAGTACAACAGAATTATTAGTTATTTATCGCATTATCATATGTTATTATATGTTGATTTTAATCCATATTTAGAATAGAATGAAGTTTTAATATTTCTGTTAATGATGTCTCTAAAGTTCAGCAAATTCTTCGCAAAAAGAATAAGTTATTGGAAACACGTCGGAGATGAGTAGTCACGTGACCGAATAGCACATAACAGTTCTAAAATAACAATATCTTCAAAACTCATTATACAGAATCATTTTGCTTGTAAATAAAATTCCTCAGTTTTGTTTATAATGCTTGTAGGTGGTAACATCCTTTTGCTTCAAAATATCATTGATCTTTTTTGCATAATTTTTTAGCAAAATATTTGAAGAACACAGTACAATTTTTTTAATTATCAAGTCTGTACTATGTCCATTTACACATCTATGGCCAGCAAATAAATCAGATGACAGATTATTTAACACGTTAACTGCCGCCTGTAATATGATATTTTGCGTATTTACCAGCCACAATGAGAAAATTTGATATTTAATATTTCATTATAATGTAAATAGAAGGGCCATTATATAACAATCAGTAGAGTGAAGATAAAAAAATATATATGAACGATGACTGACAGTCATATGGCTTTGAACCGGAGACTATAAGACCACCAGCTATTTAAGGTTCATTTACACACAACAGTGATGTGCAGGCACAGTGCAGTGAATTTTTGCATGTGGGAAATCGTTGATCTAGTTTTAAACCACTCTGTCCAGACTTGTCTGTCAGTGCTGTGCAGTGGCAGTGGCGTGACTGTACCGTGAAAGTACATTTCATGGGAACAATATTTATGCTGATGGTAAATTTTGTTTTCCAATGGATGACGAACATTTAATTAATTGAAATGATGCATCAACACCCTGTTCTATTTGATTTATCTCATTTGAAATACATGGACATTGGGTTCAAAATGAATATTTTCTCTGTTTTATTTAATAAAATATGAAATGCATGTTGGGATATTTGATATTAAAAAAATATAGATTTTTCATCTCAGTTTTGTATAAAGAGTATGAAACTCTCATTCTGTTGATATTTTTTCTCTGTGCTTGATGTACCACTTGTGGTGCTTTCTTGATTGCATTTCTTTTTCGTCTTCATCCAAACATATAGCTATCATAGCCAATTCATCTTTAGAAAAGTCCATGACCACTTACTGACAGCACGGTATTTACACACTGTTGTGTGTAAATACTCGTCACTGTCACTAAACGGTCACTGTTGTGTGTAAATGGACACTAATATTACAAACCCGCTGTAATTACATGTGTGCCATCTAATTAAAAGTTTTTACATCTATGTGTTAAAAGTATTTTACAATTTGTTTGGACTGCACATGTTTACTTTGTCTTGTAATCTCAGACTTGTGTAGGAGAAAGTACATGTGTTGCGTAGGCTAATAAACAATCCGTGCTCGACGAATTTTAAATATTTGCTGTAAGTACAGTTGACAGTTATTTACAGTTAAGATGGCAAGCAGTGACATGCCGTGACATTTGATGATAGGGAAGCTGTGTTTCTGTAAGAAGCCAGCTTACAGGGGTAATCAGTTAATTGTGTGTCTGGATCCATTCGTATTCGTTTGTTTAATAGGCCAGTAAAAACTGTACACTCATTTAAATGTACAGTAGAGCATCGATTATTCGAATCAATTGGGGACTGTGGTTATTCAGATAACTGATATTTCGGATAACCGATTATGTACGAAAAAATAGTTTAACGTATCCGATGTTGAAATTTTTCTCCGTTGTGTGGCGCTTTACGTTAAATTTTCGTCAATGTTAAGCCTAACGAAGACTATTGTATAATTAAAAATTATTTTTTTATTTTGTACAAACAAAATAAATATATTGAAAAATATAAAAACAATAAAAAATTATACTTCAGAAGTTAATTTAGTATCAAAAACGTAAAATATTTGAGTAGCCCAAGACATAACCAAAGATTGAAGCGTCACAGCACTAGCGAAAATTTAAATTTGCCGACTGGAATTCTTTCGGATTGACTTTCGGATAATCAATGCTCTACTGTATTTTTAATAGATTATCTGATGTACTTAATAAATAAACAAGTTCAATATAATTACCTCTGTTATTAGACTCAATAGATTCCCTAAGCCCTCTATATGCCAATTCTTCCTTTGAGAAAAAACATATAACAACTATTAATTTAGATATAATATATCTATTAGCTGTAATTATCTTGTTATAATTTTCAATATTTATTTTATATTGTTTACTAATGTTAAGTTCTATTCTGCTTTGATTTCCAAATTGCTTCAATTTTACGAAAGAATCAATCTGACATTTACAATTTTCATGTCTTTTGCCAGCTTTACTCAAATTATTTAAATCATCAAAGCCATACTTATTCCACACACTAATTTTATTTGAAAATAATAGGCAAAGCCAACAAAACAATTTTTGCATTTCTATGCATCTACAAAGCCATTTATGTTTTATCGTGAAAATGTCAAATTTTTTGTTGATGTATTTACATTTAATTAAGGCATTGGTCTTTCTCTTTTTAATGATGATTTCTTTTTCATTATATGGTCTTGAGCCAAAACTTTTTTAAAATAAATTTTCAATATCGCAATTACATTCTAAATCACTAGCCATAATATAAGGGCTAAAATTAAAAATAAAATTATTAAAACTTACTTGGTGAAATAAAATGTCTGATGGATATACAATTATATATACCTAGTATAAAATATTCAATTGTACTATGATGTACAATGAATATACTTTTAAAGAAAATTATAATTAAATATAGTTTTGTGAAGAAATGTAAATAAATATAACATAAAATGTTGTTTACTTTTTAAATATTAAAACAATTCACTTAGTTAAAATTCTCCCTACGAGTGGCATGGACGGAATCAGAGATGATCTTGGTAGGTGTGCAGTTCGTGCATGCACACCAGATCCCAAGGGTGCTGATACCGGTTAATGTCAAATGCCTCTTTTGCCACATCACTAGCATATCTCAAAAGATGCAACAGGGTTGTTGTAAATTTTAAATGTTTCTCACCATAGCTGTAAAAATCTAAATATGTTAAATTTAAAAGTAATTTGTTTACTAACTAATTTGTTTTAGGACCAGATGTCCACAAAAATTTCCAAAATTTACAAGTTTTTGGTCACACTCATTGAAATGGATAAACTTTTCTCTCTTTATTACATCTAATATTATGAAGAAATCAGTCCCCACTGTACTCTGCTAGAGATTGGTTCAGTTAAGCTTTTGTTTAAGTAAAATTCCAGCCCTTTCATCAGGGTTTTATTTAGGTCTCTAATTCTGTAATCTCTTAATTATTTAACTACTTCTTAAGAAGAATTAAGTTGAAACCGGTTACTTTGTACTTGAATATATTTATGACAACTCATTCATTTTCATTTCATTTTGTTTTTATTGGTACAAAAAATAATTGTACATTCCCTGGTCCCACTACACACATTACCAGGGATAGAGTATATATACAATATTAAATGAATATTAAGAAGTAATACAGAAATAAATGCAGATGATGATAATAAGTAAGATAAAATAAATTAACAAATAAACAATAATAAATAAAATAAGATAAATAAACAAATAACTATAACTAACAAAAGTTTACGTAATAAAAGCTTGCAACAAAAGCGAACACGTGCTATCAAACAATCACATTAAAAATCACACAAAGTGACAAAAACCGAAACAATTACACATAGAATAAAAATACATGTAATAAAAACAAAATTAAAATTACATTAAATCAAATACAAAGCAACTGGCACGTAAACACATTACATGTAAGGATGCAACAATAACCAATCTGCATAATATTAGAACTGGATGAGAAGAAAAATATATACAGTGGAACCTCTGTATACGTCTGCTTTAGAATACATTCAATTTGGAATACGTCCTGTTTGGACGAAACAAATTTTGCTCGGTATACGACTTAATTCAATTACAGTAGAGCGTCGATTTTCCGAATCAATTGGGGACTGGGGTTGTTCGTATAACTGATATTTCGGATAATAGATTTATATACGAAAAAATAGTTTAACGTATCCGATGTTAAAATTTTTTTCCGTTGCGTGTCGCTTCGCGTTGAATTTTCGTCGATGTCAAGCCTAACGAAGACTATTGTATCGTTAAAAATTACTTTTTTTTTAACTAATTAAAATGAACTTTATGATTACCCAAAATCACCACCAGGAGGCCTGAACCAGTTATATATTGTGCTAAAGAACATGGTAGTTATGGTCAGAAATGGTAACCATTGTTTTAATGTTAAAAAACGCCGAATCCTCAAATAAAAGGTCGGCGTTTCGATCGTTTTTAACTTTGTGTGTGTTTCGTTATAATTTATCACGTGTTCTGTGGAAGTTCATCCAAGCCAATATACTGTTACTTCTGTGGTGTGTTAAAAGGATGAAAGATAGACTCGAAAAATTAAAAAATTTTTTGTAAATAGTCAAAATTCAATTTTTACTTTTTTTTTGTACAAACAAAATAAATATATTGAAAAATATAAAAAGAATAAAAAATGATACTTCAGATGTTAATTTAGTATCAAAAACGTAAAATATTTGAGTAACCCAAGACATAGCCAAAGATTGAAGCGCCACAGCGCTGGCGAAAATTTAAATTTGCCGACTGGAATTCTTTCGGATGATTGACTTTCGGAACATCGACGCTCTACTGTATACGCACCATCTATGAACAAGTAGTACTATCGGTGTACTAGACCAGACTAGACGTTCACGGTGCCACGATTTATAACTTTGTTAAATTTCTTTTCATTTCAATTTGTAAGTAAAATGTTATTATTTTTATTAATCATGAATTGCAAAAAGGCAACAGAAAAGAACGACTAAAATCACAATGGAACTGAAAAAAAGAAATTGTTGAGAAATATGAAGGTGGCACGCGTGTTCGACATTTAACTGTTGCATACCTTATTCCGAGAACGACCATACCGACAATCGTGAAAATAAAGACATTATTAAATTTGCTAACGTTGCGAAAGGGGTTAAATCAATTTCTAAACATAGATCGAAGACATTAGATTGTGTCGAGAAATTGCTTTTACTTTGGATAACTCAAAAACAGTGTGCTGGTGACAGCATATCAAAAGCAATTATTTGCGAGAAAGCTAAAAAGATACACGCTGATCTTGTGAAAAATCAAACAGGAACTAGCCAGGAAAGCGAGGTGTTTAAAGCCAGCCACTTTTTTTTAATTGAGAACGGATTAATCATTTTTACATTACTTCTTATGGGAAAGGTTGGTTTGGTATACGTCCTATTCGGTATAAGTCCAAACATCAGGAACTGATTAAGGTCATATACCGAGGTTCCACTGTATTATATTATACAAGAGAAATGCGCATATAGATGCTACAAATTTCATTAAATAACCAGGGGCCAAGACGATTAATTGTAGATAGAGTTGTGAGTTACAGTATTGATATGCCTAGCAAGTCTCTTAAAAGCGTAATATATTTCCTTTGTACGCCAAATATCAGAAGGGTTGCAAGGCCACATAATTCCCAGTTCTTGTAATAGTAATTGAATCTCAAGGCGTGAGCTGTCAAAAAGATAATGTATTGCACCATCTTCCACACCACAGGCTTGACAAAGTCTAGAATTCCTATTAGTAAATCGAGCAAGATAACTTGCATATTTACTGTGATTGGTAAAAATTTGTGAAGTGTAGTAATCAGGAGTGTGCCAATTAATCTTGAGAAATTGCAAAAGATTGGAATGAAACTGAAGGTAATATGTTGACTGGAATGAAACTGAAGGTATATGTTCTGGTTCCACATATTCTGCCAGAGTTGTATTGTGTCTAACCATAGAAGATGACGTAACGAACGTTTGCTAATTTTGTTATAAGATATTGAGAGTGAGTCATTCACAGCATCTTCTTTAGCCAGGGAGTCAGCTCTCTCATTCCCCAGCACTCCCTGATGAGCCCTAATCCATGTGATAGTGAACACACAGTGGGAAGCCAAAATAGCCCTGTTAATATGTTGAGCTAGTGGATGCAGATTGTTATTCTGAAGGCGATTATAAACAGACATAGTCTGTATGGATATGAACATGAAGAGTATTATAATTATGATTAATATAGCCGATAGCCATCCCAATAGCAAATAACTCAGCTTGAAAAACAGTACATCTACAGTCAAGCCGATACATTTGATGTACTACTTCAGAATTATTAAGATATATAACAAAACTACACCCAACCTTATCATAAATGCGTGAGCCATCAGTATATACGTCAACATCAGCACTGTATAAATTAGTAAAACTACAACCAGAAGTTCTGTCTGGTGAAAAAGTTTCCCTATACAGTATTGGCTACTCAATATCATTATAACTGAGTGTACAATTCGAGATCTGAATTGTCTGTCCCCATTTAAGATGTTGGAACCACAGTTTTTGCAATATAGCAAGATCTATAGGTGGCTTTTTAGCTAATACTTGTAAACAGCAATTACTCACAGTCCTGTATGCCTTGGTGATAAGAAGTGCGCATCTCTGAGAAGATAAAAGCTTTCTTTTAGCATGCACCTTATGGGTGGCCCACCCCCAAGAGCCACATGCATAAGTAATAATTGGAATATAGATTCTATCATAAATGGTAGACATGGCAGCAGAGGAGATGCCCCATTCTTTCTTTGCTACTTGGGAAAATGAGTGAAAAATAAACCCGGTCCGGTTTGTAATATATTCGATATGACTGTCCCATGACACTCAAAAATCTAAAACAACCCCCAGATATTTTAGTGAACGTTCCACTTTGATGGTATTACCCTGCATTTTGATATGTGGGGGCAAAGATACTAATTGGGGTGTCTAGGTTTATTAAAGACTATAGCTTTAGTCTTTGAAGGATTGAAAAAGAATTTGTTTAATACCCCAGTTAAAGACATGTTGGAGCATAGTATTAGCATTACATTCAATATCATCCCTTGACTTGCCACCTAACAACAGGAATACATCATCAGCATAGGCACAAATTTTTGTGTGTCCAAAGTCTTCGAGAAGAAATGCATCAAAGGTAATATTCCATAAAAGGAGTCCAATCACGGACCCCTGTGGACACCCAAACTAATTTATGACAACGTAAATTTAAGGAAAATAAATTCTAGAGCTTTTTTGTACTTTATTTGTCTTATTCATTAAATTTGGTTGTAAATGATGCTGCCAAAGTAACAGTTAATTTTTTAACATTGTACACTGTTTTTTCTACATCCCTCTATAGATGGGACATACAAAATCATATAATATCACTGGTTTAGCATTGAAATCTGTAAGTAATATAAGATGGGAGAGCAGAATACAAGCAGAATAAATATATCAAATATTTTAATGGGTTTTTTAAAAACTCCTGTCAACTATACAGAACTATCATAAAAACATACCAGTAAATTCCAATTGGTTGGGTTAAGTTATAAATCTACTCGCGATTCAAATAATGGGGCGAGAGTGGCCAAATTTCTAGCAGGCAGGCGGCTAACAGCCCAGAACTGGTCCAGGATAGAATCTTTGGAAGCATTTTGGTGTGTAGCTTCCACCTGCTAAACCAGGTGAGGTTGGTGCTCTGAAGTGCATGCACAAATGTGTATAATCTGGCTGCTTGGAAGCTGACCCGATTTCGACAATACAGCGCCTCCATTTTGTCACTGATATTCAAATATACAATAGCAATCTTATCATTTTTTTTCATGTGTAGTATAGAAATTTGTAATAAGATACATAATGCAGTTATAATAAAATATTAATTTTTAATTAATTCAAAGTACATTAAAATATGAAAATAGCAAAGTTGAGGCAGAAGTTTTAAATGCGAAAACGTGTGTGTCAGACGTTCAGCACTGTTTTCCTGTAAGCCTAGAAGTTTGACAATGGTGTTTGGAATGGGGAGCATTATTCTACTGACTATCCAAACATCATTGTCAAACTTCTAGGCTTACAGGAAAGTGGCGCTGAATATCCGACGTACAGGTTTTTGCGTTTACAACTTTGGCCTCAACCTTGCTAATAATCGTGCAATATGTATTTATATTTTAGAAAATACAAGGGAAGCGGCGCTTCCAAGGACGGCTTGCCACTGATGGCAAACACAAGGGGTGTGTCGACCTCACGTATCAAGCAGGAAGAAAGCAGCGAATCTGATGAGAATGATATATCATATTTTGAAGATCTGAGCTACTATGATTCAATATATTCATCTAGTGAAGATGAAGAATCATATAAGGTGAGTGATGTTTGGAAAATTATTCTACCTAACACAGACATAAAGCACCAGATTTTTCCTTACACATTCAATGCAGGACTGAGTAACATAAATTTGTCCTCCAATGAGAGGTCGATAAAGTTTTATGAACTTTTTATGAATGAGAAAATAATTGAATATATTACACAACAAACAAACGTTTATGCTGCACAATCATTGGCAGGAAAAACTATAAGTAAAAGTTGCAGGCTAAGATTATGGAAAGATACAAATACAGGGGAAATGAAGAAATTTCTTGGTCTTTTATTATGGATGGGGTTAGTGAAATACCCAAAATTAAGTGATTACTGGAGTACACATCCCATATATAAAAATGATATTGCACCACAAACCATGTCACGTAACAGATTTGAATTATTGCTATCGATGTGGCATTTCTCAAACAACGAAGAAGGTAATGGAGACCAACTACATAAAATAAATTCTCTGAAAGACATGCTTGAAGAGCTTTATCAATACTATAATATACCTGGTGAATATTTATGCATAGATGAAACAATCGTCCCATTTAGAGGACAATTAAGTTTTCGTCAGTATATGCGTAGAAAACGTCACAAATATGGTGTTAAACTGTACAAAATTGCTGATACTACTGGATACACTTATAGCATACAAATTTATAAAGGTAAAAGTGAAGGATCACAGGGAAATGTTTCCTTATCAACTGATATTGTTCTAAAGCTAGGAGAAAAATATTTAGGTGAAGGACGTACATTCACAACAGATAATTACTATACGTCGATTGAGCTGGCAGAACATTTATTAGAAAGAAGTACCCATCTTATAGGAACACTGAGAACAAATAGGAAACGCATCCCCAAGGAAGTAGTAAACAAAAAATTATCTCAAAACGAAATTATTGGTATGCATAATGAAAAGGGAATAGTTGTAGCTAAGTGGAAAGATAAACGGGATGTGCTTATGCTGTCTACAAAACATGCAACAGAAATTACTTCTATAGGTAAAAAAAACTACAAACAAGAAGAAATTTTCAAACCTAAAATAGTTCAAGACTACAATATTGGGAAAACGGGTATTGATTTATCTGATCAATATTCTAGTTACTCCAGTGCAGTACGAAAGTCGGTAAAATGGTATCGCAAAGTTGCAATGGAGCTTATATTTGGGACTACCGTTGTCAATGCACATATTATTTACAATAAGATAGCTGATAAAAAAGTATCTATTACCACCTTCAGAGAGTTTTTAGTGGAAAGCTTACTCAATTGTGATAAAAGTCATCAAAAACCTGCAGCTCGAAACCCGAAAAAACACACATTGGAAACAGTTAGAGATGTCGACAAGAGAAACAGAAAACTAAGGAAGCGTTGTGCATCCTGCTATGCTAAAAACAGAGAGAAATTTGGAAGTCGTAAAGCTGATAAAGCAAGCGTAACGCCACGAGTTGCTTCATATTGTGCGCAGTGTCCAGGAAAACCTGCAATGTGTGCAAGTTGTTTTGTAAATATGCATGAATGAATATTATATATGTATGTAAAACTTTTATACTCATTATAAATTTTTTTCTCTAAATATACATTATTTTGCAATATATGACTTTTGTTCTGTAATATTATTTACTTTATATGTAATAAAAGATAATAATTAAACTAGTTTTTGATGATTTTTAACTATTCACTATTTAAAAAACACTATCAGATATAAAATAGTTTTTTATTAAAAAACACGATGACCATGGCTGTCGAACCAGTTCATGAGGCCACACAACAGCCAGCAGTTTAAACCAACTTTATAGATGTCCACAAGAGGCCACCACTAGGATGTAAAACAACATCTTATAAAGCCAGGATAATTTAATTTTGAGTGAAACTACATTGGTTATAGCATTGTCAGGTGGTCGGATGGCTCTGTACAGCCCTAACTAGTATGACCACTGGTGCATCGGATGGTGGTTAACATGTTAATTTCTTCGATTTTTCTTCAGTGCAATTGTCAACCTTCAACCTCTTACAACATTTGTCCTTGATTTTCACTTCTGGGGCAGCAGGAACAGTGCAGGTTTCTTCCATATTGGCAAAAGCCCTGCACCTGGATAGATTCTGCTTATGTGTTGTGTAAATATTTCAAATCTTCTGGCCACAGTTGTTTCTATTTCATTAACTTTTTATATGTAAAAGCATATAAATAAGAATTGCACAATTGCTCTGTGTAATGAAGTGGCATGTTTTTTCTGTTTTTCAAACATTGCCACAATCTTTCAATAGTTTGGGTGTGAACCCCTGTAACAGGATTTACAAAATTTTCAGCATGTTTCACTGTTTCGTGTTATATTTCAATTCCTTCCAAATCATCAATGTGATTATACCCCTTCCACTCATCTGGATATATAATACTTTCTGAATGTACAAACCTACTCACAACCCAATTGAGGCTCTCTGATCGATCATTAACATAACACGCAAAACATTTCTTGTTCTCTCTACAAATACCACCTACAACCCATTTTGTACCTTTCAATTGCTGACCTTTCTCATATTTCCTTTTGCAAACCACAGTCTCATCTACCTCTGCGGTCTTTCCTGGTCCTCCAATTTTCATATTACTTAAATTACTCAACGAAACCATCATTACATGTCTAATATAATTTGCCCAATCAAGAGCAGGTCTTTTACTTACACCTATGGACAACCAAATGGATTTCAATGAACAGTCAATACAGATTAAATTCCATATAAAGGAAAGAATACTTGACCAGGATAAATTGCCACATTTTCCTTTAAATGTCTCTTCATAAGCTGACATTTTAAGGTTACATTTCCAACATCAAAAACTAACACAATTTGCATCACTTCTGAAACAAATTTTACACTTGCCAATACATTTAACACACAGTTTTGGTTGTTTGAAGGCCTAGTTTAATTGTAAATTTTACGTCTGATGGAATTCTTACATCGAGACATAATTCAGAAAAATCAGATAACAAATAATGAATGAAATCCACAGTGGTCCAATTCTTAAATTCCATTATCAAAAAAACAAATTAATAACTAAACTCACTCAAATAATCTCAACAGTAATTTTAACGACTCGCACACCTACCACCCGCACAAAACAAATTTGCATAATTTCTCACAAGTATACATTTATGTCATAGGATAACCTATTTGCAAATGAACACACAATGTCACCAGCACCACCTACCGATGATTTCTATTCGCGCCTGTGCTCGAGATTTTAGAAGGGCATTCATGATGGTCCCAGATTGTAAACTTCAACCACGTCATGGCGTTAAAATGATGGTTGAGTGCAAGGTCTATATACATAAGGTCAGGACATGCCAAATAGTTTATTATGACAATAGTGGAAACTTCTGCCTGCCATCTGGTGGTTTGAGGAGATAACTACACTTCACTCCATTTGTACCATGTGTATAAGGAGGCGTTTTGGGGTATTAATATAAAGTTTTGTACATTTTTATCTCTCAATAATTAGAATGGCTGGAAGAGGGGTTATTTGCGCTTTGTATAGCTGCTTTAATTATAAGATACAAAGTGATTGTGAGTCGTTTTATAGATTCCCTAAAAACAAACAAGTGTAAGTAAATTAATAAGCAATTAGATTGTTTTCATTTATATCATCATTCCTCCTTTTTTAAAATGTTATCATTCAACATATGTGTTTATATTGATTTTCTGATGCACTCAGTGGGCTATTAAGATCAGAAGGTCTGATTTAGACAAGATTTTGAAAACGAAAGTGCCAGAATATTTAAGTAGAAATTATGTCATGTGTTCCAACCATTTTACGGAAAAAGATTATCTTCAGAAATATCAGCATTTTCAAAACAATTTTAAATTAATATATTTTTGTTAGAGCCCATATGGAATTAAAACTAAGTTAATTAGTTATTTCTTAAAGAATGCAAATATTAAAGGTGTTTGTGAGAATACGGATGCTAGTTTTTATTTTCACACTAACTGCGTAATAAGCGAGGGTGACTTTCATCGTCCGAAGGTCACCGACGAGGGACCACGATGTCACGTGACCCCCATATGTCCAAGCGACCGAACGATAAATGACCAAATAAGGAAGTAAGTTTTTCTACGGTGCGGGAGATGATAATAAATCAGGGAGAAATGTCAAAAGACATCAACAAATTCCCAGATTTTTCCCACGCAGACCGGGTATATAAAGGGGTCGGATTTTCTACTCTAGGTGCTTAGCCGAGGAGCTAACGCCGAAGAAACCCCTCTGGACAGCTAAGGAAGACCGAGAGCGATCGTCGAGGGAAGAGAACGCAGTGGACTACTCTTCCAGCACTCTCAGGATCTACGAAGCTCATAATCGTCACTCCATGGAAAGGTAAAAGACTTTGAATATTTTTCTATTCTCTCCATATACGACGGAATTATTCCTTGAAGAGGTTAATCGAAGAAACCTCTGAGCGAACTTTGCCAGGAAGAACTCTCTACAGACTAGGAGCGACGGAGCATACATCGTAACCAGACATAGCCGCACAGCCTGAGAGGGACATCGCTTTACATAGCCTTCAAAGGACACCTCGGATTAGAAGATGACGATCACAGAGTGTTTTATCAACGCCCTATACAGGTATACCTCGCCTTACGTCGGTAATTGGTTCTAGGAAAACGACTTAAGTCGAAAAACGACGTAAGTCGAATTTACTTGTCTCCGAATCTACTTGTCACTAGGCTAAACCATAAATTACTATTCCCAGTTCTGTATTTTATTTATTAATGCATTTTTAATAATATATGGTTAATAAGAATCTATCCTAAGCTTACAAACAAATAAATTTCAGTTTTTAATAGAGTACAGAAGAAAGTAATCTAAATTTACGAATGCATGTACTCTTCTGTAAATACAGTACATACTTGTAAATGTATATATTTTAATATGATTTTATGTGCTTTAAACGCTTTTCTAGTGATATTAAGACTTCAATATTTGTGGCGGACGGATGTAAAGTCGAATAAAATGACTTAAACTTGATTTTTATTTTTCCGTATACTTTTTTGACAAACGACGTATAATCGGGAACGACGTAAGTCGAGGTATACCTGTAATATGAGAGCGTTTCCTACAAGGTAAACCCTTGCCATAATTATCTCTCTCCAACGTGAGGCCTCTCTCGAACTTTAGCATTAGGTTAGGTTAGGATAGATTTTAGAATACCTATTTATATCTTGATACGCGAGTGTTATATTTATTATCTGTATGTATAATTTCTCATCTGTTTATTAAATGTGTTGTCTATTTTAAACCTGTGTAGTCTTTTGGACACCTGATCACTTCCGACTCCTCCCCACTCATATCTTTAGCCCTCCTATAGCCATTCTCTGACAGCCAAGCCGGTAAGTGGGGAGAAGCTCTCGCTCTACCCCCTTGGTTCGCACATATTAAATTATTGGCAGATAAATATTTCAAATTATTAAAGCATATGTGACAAAAAATAATGATTCATCTGAAAGTTTTCTGAGAATAAAAAAATGCTAAATTAAAGGTTTCACATATGTAATAACTGTATTATCCATGACCTGTATGATCAAAATGTGCACATAATATATTTTGGTATTCAGTGTGTTTTAATTTAACGTAAAAATGTTTTATTTTAATTTAAAAAATTGTTCCAATTTAAATATTACGTACCTCCGAAACCTTTAACTGATGCGAATAAATTTAACATTACTAACGTTTTCAGATTCCTCCTGGGTCCTTCTTCAGGTAAAAATCGTCAAATGTTAATGCAACAGGAAGATTAAGGAAGTCGTAAACTTAAGCAAGGAGGACGAAAGGGTAGACATTATGAATATAATGTATTTTTTTGCTTAACATCAAAGATCTTACAACAGTAATTATATAAAAAATATTTTCAATTGCATCCGCTATGACGTGGGAACTTTTACGTTTGGGAATATGGAACACATGATGCCGTTCTATCGTTTGATGTTTTGAAAAATTCTTTCGAAACGAATGGGTAGTTTGACGATTTTTACCTGAAGAAGGACCCAGGAGGGGTCTGAAAACGTTAGTAATGTTAAATTTATTCGCATTGGTTAAAGGTTTCAGAGGTACGTAATATTTAGTAAACTCCGGTGTGTAGTTGTACGTTATTATTAATAGTGTTTCTATGTGTTTTCTTCTTTGCCTTGCATACTTGTATTTACCATATTCAATATTTCAAATAGGTCTACTAAGTATGCTAATTTGCTGCACCAATCACGACTAGCAAGCAGGCAACAAAATTCTTCTTTATCTTCCGTATTAAAAAATAAATTTCTAAGAAAATGCTTAATTAAAAGGCCCTAAACTTTGCGACACCCCAATCGTGGCATTGCGGCACCCCAGTTGAAAAACACTGGTTTAAATCACTATCCAGCCATGTTTCCTACTAAATAAAATTATAATTCATGTTTTAAGATCATAAAATAAAGACAAAAAGATAATGAAATATTTATTTTGTTGCATTTTTGCAAGTTTAGACTTTACATAGTCTGCTGTGTTAGTGCTCTCCTCAAATTGCTAGATGTCATTAGTTTGTGCTGTCGCCACTATGGTATATGCTAATTCATGAGAGTTTTCACTATTGTCATATATGCTATTTGGACACGCTTACTGGTGCTGCCATTTTGGGCCTTTTTGAGTAGCATGTTTTAAAGAAACTTGTACGAGCAGTCAATTTTATACAACATTAATTAAACTAAAATTGCATAAATCCAGTAATTTTCCAGTCAAAAATATAGTAATTATTTTGGATGATCATGCAATTCCAATTTTATGTAACTTTTTCATCAAATAGTTTAAAAGAAACGACATCTTTCATATTATTTGCTGTTGTGATTAAAACTAATTAAATAGGTGCTAAAACTGATGCAATTACATATATAGGCACTTTCTAAAGTGGTGCAATAACATCAAAGAAAATTTAAAGAATATACAATGAAGTTATCCAAAATTTTATTTTAAAGCATTTACCAATACAATATTAATACGTTAAAAATAAATAAATAAATACTGGACTAACATTTAATTAATGAACATTTTTGGCTTTACAAAGGCTTAAATGTCATATTTTCCTAATTTCATAAAATTTATCAAAAAGCACATAATATTAAACACAATTTAATGATATTTTTAACATAGCTTATCTGATACATAACTTCTTTCTCTGTACAGGTATACCTCGCCTTACATCGGTAATTGGTTCCAGGAAAGTGACTTGAGTCAAAAAACGACGTAAGTCGAATTTACTTGTCTCCGAATCTACTTGTCACTAGGCTAAACCATAAATTACCATTTCCGGTTCTGTATTTTATTTATTAATGCATTTTTAATAATATATAATTAATAAGGATCTACTTTAAGCTTACAAATNAGAAATGTAAATAAATATAACATAAAATGTTGTTTACTTTTTAAATATTAAAACAATTCACTTAGTTAAAATTCTCCCTACGAGTGGCATGGACGGAATCAGAGATGATCTTGGTAGGTGTGCAGTTCGTGCATGCACACCAGATCCCAAGGGTGCTGATACCGGTTAATGTCAAATGCCTCTTTTGCCACATCACTAGCATATCTCAAAAGATGCAACAGGGTTGTTGTAAATTTTAAATGTTTCTCACCATAGCTGTAAAAATCTAAATATGTTAAATTTAAAAGTAATTTGTTTACTAACTAATTTGTTTTAGGACCAGATGTCCACAAAAATTTCCAAAATTTACAAGTTTTTGGTCACACTCATTGAAATGGATAAACTTTTCTCTCTTTATTACATCTAATATTATGAAGAAATCAGTCCCCACTGTACTCTGCTAGAGATTGGTTCAGTTAAGCTTTTGTTTAAGTAAAATTCCAGCCCTTTCATCAGGGTTTTATTTAGGTCTCTAATTCTGTAATCTCTTAATTATTTAACTACTTCTTAAGAAGAATTAAGTTGAAACCGGTTACTTTGTACTTGAATATATTTATGACAACTCATTCATTTTCATTTCATTTTGTTTTTATTGGTACAAAAAATAATTGTACATTCCCTGGTCCCACTACACACATTACCAGGGATAGAGTATATATACAATATTAAATGAATATTAAGAAGTAATACAGAAATAAATGCAGATGATGATAATAAGTAAGATAAAATAAATTAACAAATAAACAATAATAAATAAAATAAGATAAATAAACAAATAACTATAACTAACAAAAGTTTACGTAATAAAAGCTTGCAACAAAAGCGAACACGTGCTATCAAACAATCACATTAAAAATCACACAAAGTGACAAAAACCGAAACAATTACACATAGAATAAAAATACATGTAATAAAAACAAAATTAAAATTACATTAAATCAAATACAAAGCAACTGGCACGTAAACACATTACATGTAAGGATGCAACAATAACCAATCTGCATAATATTAGAACTGGATGAGAAGAAAAATATATACAGTGGAACCTCTGTATACGTCTGCTTTAGAATACATTCAATTTGGAATACGTCCTGTTTGGACGAAACAAATTTTGCTCGGTATACGACTTAATTCAATTACAGTAGAGCGTCGATTTTCCGAATCAATTGGGGACTGGGGTTGTTCGTATAACTGATATTTCGGATAATAGATTTATATACGAAAAAATAGTTTAACGTATCCGATGTTAAAATTTTTTTCCGTTGCGTGTCGCTTCGCGTTGAATTTTCGTCGATGTCAAGCCTAACGAAGACTATTGTATCGTTAAAAATTACTTTTTTTTTAACTAATTAAAATGAACTTTATGATTACCCAAAATCACCACCAGGAGGCCTGAACCAGTTATATATTGTGCTAAAGAACATGGTAGTTATGGTCAGAAATGGTAACCATTGTTTTAATGTTAAAAAACGCCGAATCCTCAAATAAAAGGTCGGCGTTTCGATCGTTTTTAACTTTGTGTGTGTTTCGTTATAATTTATCACGTGTTCTGTGGAAGTTCATCCAAGCCAATATACTGTTACTTCTGTGGTGTGTTAAAAGGATGAAAGATAGACTCGAAAAATTAAAAAATTTTTTGTAAATAGTCAAAATTCAATTTTTAATTGAAAATATCCTGGGTTGCTCATGTTATCATGTATGCTGTTATGCAAATGAACTTTATGATTACCCAAAATCACCACCAGGAGGCCTGAACCA